GGAGCGGTGGGACCCTGTGGCCCGGGGGTGGGAGAGAGGAGGGGGGCGTGGGCAACAACGTTATCTTAGATTACATGGTCCTACCCTACTGGCCGCAGCCAAAGCCTCCTGTCCGGAAGCACCGGGAGCCCACCAGCTTGTTAGCGACACCCGCGTGAGTTAGGGATGCTCAGCCAGCTGTTTCTAGAGAGCCGGTTCAGGGGAAAAGGAAGAGATTTGGGGAGCAGGTTAATCCCCATTCCCCAATTTGGGGAGTGCTTCTATAGCCACGGAGCCTCCCGGTGTGAAGCCCCCTTTTCTGTTGGAAGAGATGGAGCTGGCTGTGCTTGGGGCTATTCGTCGTGAACCACCACCGGTTGGCCCCGAGCGTCAGCCGCGCTCGCTGCCCAGCCGGGGAGAGGTGCTGAGTTTGTTTCCTTCCTGTTTTTGGCAGTTCACGGGGCAGTGCCAGTGCATGCCGGGCTTCGGAGGCCGGACCTGCCGGGAGTGCCAGGAGCTCTTCTGGGGCGACCCAAGCGTGGAGTGCCGAGGTGAGTCGCGGGCTTGCAACGAGCCCGAGCGCGTGGCCTTTTTGGAAATCACCCGGTTGTTGATTGAGACACACGTCATCACCTCCCCAGATGCAGTGGGACGCCCTTCCCCAAGCAGCTCCATCCTGTGGTGTCCCCAGAGCCGCAGGGGTAGCGGGCAGTGCCCCCATGGGAGTAAGCACAGGGCAAGCACTTGCAGCGTTAGAGGAAGCTTTGCACCAGAGAGGAAGCTTTTTGCAGTGTCCTCCTTAGTGTTCTGATGCCTACATGAAGGAGGTGCAGAGAAGTACGCTGAGTTTGGGGCCTGCCTGCTGTGGGGATGGGAGATGTGACAGAGTCCTAGCAAGAACCTGGTGTGACCTTTGCGTCATTTGTTTTGTGGGTTATTGGAACATTATTTATAAACAAACCTATTTCTTTAGAAACTAACTCTTTCAACTTCTACTTTGTGATGCTGTCAGGTAAAGTGGTGTAGTAAGAAAACATTTTAAGCAAAGAATTTGGGTTTGAGAATTGGTCTGGAAATATATTTCCTTTGTCTTTTGATTTTACGTAGTAGAAGACTCCTGTCTCTGAATTTTCTTTTTTGTTAGGGAGGCTATGGTTGAAGAAAGAGTTTTTTGATTTAGAAGATTTTCCTTTTATTTCACATGAAAATAAAAGGGAGATTGGAGACCATACAGCTAGTCAGTCATAGCCACATGCAACAGAATAGAGCAGTGTAAAGCCGATTGTTTAGAAAACTGGATTCTGTCTGTCCTTTCATTATAAACAAGTCTGTTCGTTAGCTGGAGAAGAAACTTCAAACACTGTCCAGACCAGAATAAACTTGTATTTCTGATCTGTTTAAATAGGAGTCCTTGCCAGGAGGGTTTGCAGTAGATTAAGGTATTTTTTCCTGCAGGGAGGAATGTGCTTGCTGTGGTCTTTAATAAAACCTTTACGATAGAGATACCTTAGAGCCCATTATCTAACCAGATACGAAGGTCACAGGTACTTGGTTGTGCTGAAGATGAAAGGACTGTGGAAGCATCTTGGTTGCGGTGCACATGCTAGGTTTCTTCCAAGCAAGCCGGCATGTCGGCTGAAGCTGTGCGAGTGTTCTTCTGGCTGACGGTGCTGACTGTGCCTTCGGTCTCCTGGTGCTCCAGGGCAGTGATTGTCTCTCAGTATCAGCTGTCTCCATCAAAGTTTATTGATGGAGTCCATCTGTATACCTTATCGGCAAGATTTTGCTGTGTACCAGCATTTCTGACCTTTCATTTAGTTTCTCCTGTCTTTTGAACATGTGAAAACCTGCTTTTTAATGTTTCTGAAGTAAAAAGAAAAGGTATTATTCAGAACCTATTTGTTCGGTGAAAGCTCTGAGCTTTCCTTCCCCAGTCATCCCTTCTTCCTCTGAGTGACCCAGGAGGAGGGCTCAGGCAGAAATGCTGATCTGCCTTGGGGACAGCGTCTGCAGAAAGTATCTGGAACGTGGTGACCGCCGGTGCCTGGGGCTGAGCCGCAGGAACGTGCGGCGTGGCTCCTGAGACAGGCTCCACGTGCAGGCTTGCTCTGGGAGCGCGTCCAGCCCGATGGCATTGCGGGAACCTCCGCTGGGCCTGGCGGGAGAATTCCTTCCTTGGCCCTCGCCAGTCCTGCCTTGGCAGCCTCTGAGGGGGAGAAAGCTCTTCATCTCAGCCCTAGTTTATTCCCTGACTGATGGAAGAGCGATCTTCAGACCAGCATAAATATAACTTGGGTTCCCAGCTCTGCGCAGGAAGCAAGCATTTTTCTGTGATAAGCGGCATGCAGAGCTAATTGGAAAACTGCTGTTTAAGGAGTCGCAGAGCAATGCCTATGGTGCACAGGTTCAATATGGCAAGTGGCCAAGATTAAGCTGGAAACTGAGACAAAAGGGGATTTGTCATGAAGATTAGCCTCTGCTCAGTGAAGGCAGGCCCCCGCTCTGCTGGGGGACACAGAACACCCCTGGACGTGGGACCTGCTCTGAATAGCACTCTCACACTAGCCCCAAAAGCCAAAAAAGCCACAGTGTCTACCACGTTTGTGAAGAAAATACAAACTAATCTGGACTGGGAATTGTGAGAGAACTCTGAACCGGATGAGTATTTGATGAGCAGTCCCCGTTGCTAGCGCTAATCTGTAGTGAGATGTGGATGCTGGGCCCAGGATCCTCCACTGGTCAGTGCAGAAGGTTGAGGGTTGCGTGGTCCAGCAGTCAAGGGATGCTCATGTCTGACCTCTTCACAGGTCTTCAGCCTGCTGCCACGGATAGATGCGAAGTCCTGCTGAGAAAGCAGGAGAGATTCTGTACTGCCTGTATCGCTGTGATGGATACCCTTTCAAATTTTGTAATTAGCTTAAAAAAAAAAAAAAAAGGAAAAAACAGTTGGAGGTTGAGACTTTCAAAACTAGTGATTTCTGAATTCTCTGCTTCTGGGTACTTGCCTGGAAATGGCTTCAGAGAGGGACCTAATTCATCACTTCTTAACAAACCTGTCTATTTATAGGCAGCGCAGACTGGGGACACTGCTGGTGAGCAACAGCTTCTTTGCAAGGCATGGCCTGCATGCCCGTGAACTGGCAGTCCATCCCTGAGCATCACTTTCTCGGTGCGGTGTGTTAGCATCGCACTGCGCAGGGGCATCCTCATGCACCCGGCACAAAGCGGGGGCTTGTGTGAGCAGAAATACCTGAGAACACATCACGGCGAGCACCCAAGTCTGTAGGATCTTGGAGACTGCTAACCATGTTTTCAAAAAGTACAATAAGTACTCATTTAACTTCATATTATGCCTAAAAACAGAGCAAGAGAAGCAGAGAAGGGAGAAGGCCTGGCCTGGCCTGTCTCTTGCAGGCCTCGTCCACCAGGTCCTGGTGAGGGCTACGTTGAGCAGGAGCTAAGCTATGGATCTGCTGGGAGCGTGGTCTGCGTGAGTGTCAGGTCTGGGAGACTTCTGGCTGTTGTGTAATCTGGGAGCTACATGCAGCTCTGGACAAGCATGCGTGTGAACGTGTGCATGTGCACAAAACTCCGTGCTAAAGGAGAAAATAATAGCTTTACAAGTTTCATCCAAGTCAAGTTTCCCAGCCGTTCTCCTGGAGCTTTTCCAAAGCCTGGCAGCCAGGGTGCAGGACTTGGCATGCCGAGCTGTACTCTGATCTCAGCTGGCAGAGCACGTTTCTAACAGAAGTCTCCCAAGTTCCCAAGAAGTCTGTGAGATGTAGTGGCGCTGCAGATGCAGCGCGAACAATGCACTTGCCTACTATGGTATTTCAGAGGTATATGTGAGTCATAGGATATAAAGGAGATGGTGACTATCCTTATTTTAATAAAAGGAACCATCAGAATAGGTCACAGTTAGTAAAAAAGACGGTGTGAGACTGAAAGCTAGGCTGTATTACTCTGTCCTCTTCCTTTACATGAAGCAAACATCAGTATTTTTCCGTGCAGGACTTGAACATCAAGCCCTATAGAAATAAAATTTAGTTGAACTAAGACGAAAAGATGAAGTTTTTATTGAGTACTAGTTGTAGACAGTGGCAGAAAGGTGCTTTTCTCAGTTTTAAGTCTTTGTTGAGCAGCTGTTTGGTGGTGCTGAAATACTTGCTCACTGGAAATTATCCTGTTGTTAGTGAAGAATAGGCTTCATTGTCCTAATTTGGACATCTGAGTCCTAAGCTAGTCATGTAGGCTCCTTTTATAGGTGGTGGGAGAGAAAAAAAGAGAGAAAGATCAGCAGATGTTTCATCTCCCTTAGACACGCCATAAGTGTCTAGAATAAGCCAGGCAAATTCTATGTTAAAAGTAGTATATTTTGCACTTGAGTTTCTTAATTTTAATTGATGAGTGCTCTTAAAATATTGTGGTCTGTATTGGCTGTTTCCAGAAAATTGCCCTTTTGGCAAGGTCTGCTAGCACGTTAAAATGCGTTAACTCTCTTAAATCTTAGCTGGCATCTTATCTTAACACTCATACTGAAAATCCTAATGCTGAGGAGTTAGCGTTATGCTTACAGTGTAATTTGAATCAATAGCTGATTATTCAGAAGAAATTTGCTAACGCTGCAAAACTTTCAACCTTACAAATTGCTGAATGGTTTTATCATCATCATGGCTCACTACCACCAGGAAATGATGCCAGGAAATTGTGTTTGAACAAACCCATTGTTACTTGCCTGTGGAGGGGGTAAAATGCTTGATGCTCTCCTTCCCCAACTTCAAGCAGTAAAAAAAGCATTTCTGCAAAAATAATTTCCGTTCTGTTTGGTGGAGGATCATATATGACACTTGTAGCTAGCCTCCTGCGATATGGCATTAAAGGATGTGACTGTTACTGTACAGCCCTTTACAGTATCTGTTAGATCATCTCAGCTGTAGTATCAACCAGAGTGACACACCTTACCTTAAACTTAACAGTATGCCACATATAAAAATCGTAGTAGTTTAAAAAATGGAAGTGATATTTAAGTATTTGCAAGCAGTGGGAAGGGTACCAAAGTCAGAGTAAGTGAAAGCAAGCTGTGTATGCATCTTTGTAAGCTTGAAGCAAACCACTCAGGGCTGTTGCTTGCTTCTTTGGGGTTTTTTTTCCCTTAGGTGTCTACTGGGGTAAATTCAGTAAACACACGTGGGTGTTACTTTTAATCTTTGAGATCAGGAAAGAATTTGCTAAAAGCAAAATGCAGTGATGAAGGCGGTGTCAAAATTACCCATAGATACTGTGCATGGGTGCGCATGCATTTGTGAATAAATGATACTACAAACTATCTTTTATAGTCACAAGTTGCTAATTAGCAGGTCTTATCTAAACTTTTTGGTTAGAAAATTTTCCTATCAAAAATGTGATTTCATTTACCTCGGAGTATATGACAGAAGAATGTCAGATTGAATTAAACACTGAGTTAAAGAAAACAATACACTCAGTTCCAGACTGACATTTCAAAACAGTAGCTGATTGTGTAAGTTGGAAAATGCCCCATTGAAAACCCTCAAATTTTTGGCCAGTAATTTCAAAAGAAGACTTTTTGCCCTTCACTTTTTTATTTTCCATGGGGAGGTACTTGAGTTTCCTCCTCTGCCTGCCCAGGCACAGATTTGATCCCTGTCTAACATTCATCTTCAAAGCGAGCGACCTGCTCTGCCTTGACTTGTCGTTCTGTGTCGTGGCCTTCTTCCACCTTTCTATATGAAAGGAGAATAATCAGCTGTTTATCTCGAAGGCCGTTTCTAACCCAAACCGGTTTGGGCATCTAAATCCCTCATAGTAAACTCAGCATCTGTGCGGTTTTGTGGTGCAGAACAAACCACTTTTCTCAATTTCCAGACACATAAGCACAGGGATGGTGTTTAAAAGGAGCTTACAGGATTGTATGTATTTTTCCCTATTACAGTTCTGCTCAGTGATGTATAAAGCCACTGCTAGCAACTGGGTAATGATCTGCGATACTTCTGCATCCCTAGATGTGCCTGCCTGTTTCTTGTTCCTCTTGGGGAAAATTATATGACCAGGCATATGCTAAGATTAGATGTGATATAGCTACAGATATTCAAGTGTTACTTCAGATTTATGAATGCGCTGGTTAGAGCTGAAACCTCCAGAGCCAAGCTATGATCTGAAGACGATAAGATGTGTTTCCTTTAGCATGTCTGAGTACCTCAGAAACAAAACGGCCATAGCAGGTGGCGTCATTAATGCTAAAAGGCATGAGACTTGACTAACGTGATGGCCATGGGAGTAGTTGGACGTCAACCTTGATCTTGTTGTGGGGCTCGTTGCCCCTTGAAGGAGGTGCTGGAGGGGCAAAAGCTCCGTTGTGACTAGAAGTGGTTTTGGTTTTGATGCTTTGAGCATGGTGTGCTGGGCCGTTCTGGCACAGCATTAGTGCTGTTTTGAGCAGGTCACGTGAATCAGGAAGCCTCATGTTTTCATGTGCCCGTTTATTAAATGTCACATAAATCCTTTTGATGGAGGTGCATCCACCATCAGAGGTGTGGCTCAGCATGTGATTATTCTTCGGAAGCTATTTGCTAATCCTCTGAGAACCCTTTACAGCCTGTACCAGCTAGAAGGTCCTCCTCTCCTTTCACATTGAGCCTCCCACTGTGACCAGGGCTTTTGTCCCCTTAGAAGGAGGCGCTGCTGTGTTCGTTGCAAGCGTCTGTGCCCTGAAATTGCAGGGATGCCAATGTGCTCCTCAGTACCTAGGGCGCTTATGTGGGTTTTGTCCAGGCTTGCTTACGTCCTCCTGGTAATTGGCTGCAGTTGAAGTCAGTAAAGGGTTTCAACCCCACCAGGACGTGCTCCCTGTAAGGCTCTAGGACTTGCTCCATGCTGGGGTGTGAAATAGGCTGCTGGGGGCAAGCAGAGCACAGGTATCGCCCCTCTGCTAGAGGTCCGGGATGTGGTGGACATCCTGTCTCATGCAACATTGGTCGGCAGAAGAGGGCTTGCTATGGGTTTCTGGCTGCCTCAGTTTCATTATTAACGTGGTGTCCAGAAATGGAACTGCAGCATCTGGTAGGGACTCAGAGGCTGATTTCCCAGCAAGGAACATAGATGGTTAAACTGTGGCAGGAAGAGCTTGGCTAAGGTCATGTAAACTTCTAAAAAAGAAGAAAAAAGTAATCAAAAACTGGCATGCAAAAGTCATATTTATAAGATGAGGGGTTTGTTCACAGAATGTGAGCTGTGAGAGGAGCAGTGGTGCTTTTTGAGGATTTCAGAAATGCTTGAGTCAGTGTCACGGTAAGGAATTGTCTGTGGGCTGTTGCTAGAGAGACCAGACCACAGACCTATAGAAATACCTCCCAAATTTTCAAAATGGGAACAAAATAAAGTCTTCTATTTTGTCTTATTCCAGTCCTGGAGAAGACTTTTTCTTTTCCTTTGAACGGGGTGATTTTACTTAAAAATAGAGATAAAATGATCTTCAGTTTTACCTTTTGGTTTGGGAGATGGTGTGCAGTCCTGTGAACAGTTGTGAAACCAACACATTTGAAAGCTAATTTATGTATGTTGGAGTCACGCTGTTGAACTGTTGCAGAGCCAGCACTCCCTACCTCTGTGCTTGATAGAGAATCCTAAAACGGAGGAATAACCCATAACAATTTTTCTCTCCGCCTTGCAGAATTTTCTCGTGAGTCCTACAAAGCTCAGTTTGGAAATTTGATGGAATTCTAGAAATCTGATGATTCTTCCAACTGCTGCGCTGTATTTAGAATAAATTACTTCTTTGTTATTTTCCCTCTCCCTGCAGGCAACTGCGGAGTTTGGATTTTGACTTTGCAAATGAGTTAGTACTTAAATTCCCTTCTCCCCATCCCCAGCGTTTTCTGGCTCTGGAGATTTTGGAATCCACATTATCATGTGAATGCTAGCGAAGCCCCCTCATCTGCCTTCCCTCAGCTCGCAGGTATTCAGGAGTAGAATTACCAGAAGGGTTTTTTTTTCACTTTAAGCTTTTTAAATCTGCAAGTAAATACAGTGATCTGATTTGCCAGCGGCAAGTATCGGCAAGTATCCTTGTATCGGTGTAACCTGATCAGATCGGTGTAACCTGATCAGATCTTGGGATCTTCGAGAAAACCACATACCATTTACCCCCTTTCTATGCAGTGGAATTTGGACAATTTGTCATTATACCGAGGGCCTTAGTAGTTGACAGAAGGGCTAACTGACCTCCTTCAAACAGGAACTTGACAGTTTGCCTGCAGGGAGCATATCCCATGGCAAGTTGACTACTTAGGCACTTTTGATGTAAAGTAAAAGCAATCTCTTGTCTCAGAGTGTAATTCAAAGAACAAAGGACCATTTTGCTCAATTGTGCAGGCAGCAGCAGTTATTTTTGTCTCTTGCCTATCATGCTCTTGTTACACAAGAAAGTCATTTCGCTGAGGAGCGAGGAGCAGTTTGTTCCTCTGAGGCTCTTTGAGTAATTTTTTTAGCTGAAGACATTGAAGCCAACAATACGCAGTCTTGAGAACTGCTTTGTGTTTTGCCCTTTTTCAGGAGGGCATGCGCGCATGGTCCTTCCCAACATGCTTGCAGTGTCTGCATTGATTTACAGACCATTTTGGACCATTCATTTGTGTTAACAGCTTTCAAGGGTGCCTGGTAAATTGATGTGTAAGTGAAGGCTTTAATCACATATCGGTCCTTTTCCTGGTTTGGCGTCTGTTTTGCTGTGATGGTAGGTAGATGACCCCCCTGTGTCAAGGGGCATCTTTTTTTTTGTTTGCAAGGCCTCTTTTTGTTCTCTGCTGCCATCCCTTTACTAAAAGCTTTGCAGGTTGGTGATTTCCTCTGCTTCTCCTGCCTGTGTAATTAGGGAGGAGGAGAGGTCAGGTGGAAACGGCTTCTCCTGACAGTGTTATTACTGCGTGCAAAGTGTGACTGTGCTTTCAAAAATGACAGCGCGTAAGTACGCTAATGAGTAACTTCTCTTCATAGCGGGTTAGTGCCAAATAAACGCCTATTTCTTCTAAAAGCTTGTTAGAAAAGGCTGTCGTCCAAACCTTACTGCTCCAGTTTGGCAAGCCGCCTGAAGTTGCTGAGTCCTACCTGACTAGCATTTAAAAAGAGGCAGGTGTTGATAGTTGCAAAAATAAAATAAGAATAAAAGTCCACTTCAGGAAGGCGTGAGTACTATCTCCTGAGAAGATCTACAAAAACCTGTTAATGAGCTGCACTCTGGCTGACCGTGACGAGCCGTGTGTGTAGCCGCTCTTGGTCTTTAGCACCCGTGTCGGAGGAGGCACCCACCTTTCCCCTCACTGCTCGAGACGAGGTTGCCTGTTACCACTCTTCTTTGTTTTGCTTCTTTCTTTCTCTTCTGCTTGTCACTGCCTGCATTTTTCACCTGCTCTGCGTACCCAAAACGTCAGCCCGGGACCCCGCTGCTACACGCGCGCCAGCCGGGACATGGGGCCACGGTGCGAGGCGGGGGGCGGGGGCCCTACCTCTGCGCCGAAGCTCTCGCAAGGGCTCTTAGTCCATAAAATTGTCATGCGTGTCTTTGAAGGTGCATGAGCTGTTAGCAGCCGCGGTGTCCGGGATCTGCTGCTGCCGCTGCTTCCTTTTACCTTGCCTTCTGTGCGGAGGGCAGGGGGCTGTTTCTTTCTTAATCCAGCACCTGCCGGATTCCTCCTTTGCCCCCAGTTCTGTGCTGGAGAATGCAGTATAGGTTTCTTCCTTTTTAACCTTTTCCATTTCACCCATATTTTGCTTTTTTAAAGCTCTCTGCTGTGTGCCTGTTTGTCATTTCTTTCGCAGGCTGGAAAGCCTTACTCCACTTACTTATGCTTCAAAATAGCAGCAAAACTGGGATCTTTGCCTCCAGGTCCTATCAAACTGACATGCGACCACTGGAAGAGCTGGCCAGCCGTGCTCCAGTATCGCATCTTTTTCTGAGACGTGCAAACCAGGCACTCCCTGTCTCCCTAGATTTATTTCCTCATCTCTGTGCCCCTTTGCACTCCGTTCTCCCAGTCCCAGCAGACACGTCCATAATGAGCTGATTGTCATCTGCACGCAGACCACTTCTATATTCCTTTCACCCCTTAATTACTACAGCGTTGTTTTTTCTTTTCTCCCTGCCACCTTCGCCATCATTTGCTCCTCCTTAGGCCTTACGGGGTTTCTTTCCCCCTTTTTCTCCTTGCAGCCTGCGACTGCAACCCTCGAGGCATCCAGACGCCACAGTGCGACCGCGCCACGGGGCAGTGCGTCTGCAACGAGGGGGTGGAAGGGCCGCGCTGCGACAAGTGCAGCCGGGGCTACTCCGGCTTCTTCCCCGACTGCGCGCCGTGCCACCAGTGCTTCGCCCTCTGGGACGTGGTCATCGGCGAACTGGCCAACAGGACCCAGCAGTTCCTGGACAGGGCTAACGCCCTGAAAATCACCGGTGTCACCGGCCCGTACCAGCAGACGCTCAACACCCTGGAGGAGAAACTCAGTGAAATTAAAATCATCATTGCTCAAAACCCGGCCGCCGAGCCCCTAAAAAACATCGGCACCCTCTTTGAGGAAGCAGAGTGAGTACGGTTGCAGTCACGTGGCTAAGTCTAGCTCAGCAAGGACGGGAAATCCCAGTGCCCGGGCTCGGGTGGAGAGCTCGCGCTACGCCTCGTGCTCCCCCGGGGCGAAGGACAAACACTGCTGTGTTACGTGACGAGGGGAGAGATTAAATTCCTGGGTTTCCAAGCGCGGCCTTTGGGGTAGAAACACGGGCTGCTTCCTCCATGCTGAGCAGGGGGGAAGCGCTGGTTTCGTAACAGTGACCGTTGCCTTGTGTTTTATTTTAAAAATAAGCCTGCAAAAGAAGGTAGCTTGTGCTTTTGGAGAGCCGGGCGGTTTAACATCAGGTCGCATCACGGATGCTTTCTAGCCGCGCGTGCAGCTGCTAGAGCTTGCTTGCGCAGTGTTGAACAGGGTGCACAAAGCAAAGAGGAGAGGGTTAAAGCACAAATGTCTCAATTAGAGATACGCTTCTGCCCTACAACTCCCCCCTCTAGACTGAGCTGTGGGTCGCTCTCGCCTTTGGGCTCTGTGCCGAGGACGGTCAGAGCAGCTGAAGAGCTGCTTTTCCCTAACATGTATACGCAGATGTGTTTTAAGTAGCTGCTCTTGCTCCTCTCGAGCTGTATAGCAGAAGGAAGCGTTGGGCTTCGCAGGACTGCGGGAAAGGAACAGGCTCTTGAGCTAACGAATGAGGGAGATGTAAATCAACCTTAGAGATTAAAAACTGCCTGATTCTTTCAGAATGAGGAAACAGTTTGGGTTTGCTGGGATCACCCTGGGAATAACTTCCTGTGCCCAATTCGACTCTGCAGCGGTGCTGACTTGAAGGATATATTTGCCTTTCCTTTTAGGGTTATCCCAGGAACTAAAACCGGCTCTGTGGTTTACTAAGGCGATGTTGAACGCTGAGAGCAGGCAGTTTTTCTGCGTAGCCCTAGAGGAGCGGCTGGTGAGGAGGGCCGCTTGCAGACGGGTTAAAAGAATTCATTGTGTTAAAACCGAGGCCTTTTTTTTTTTTTTTTCTTCCCCCCTTTCCTGAAGTTCAAATCTGTCCCATGAGTTTGTAGTAATCAAAACTGCATTTGTAGCTGTGTGGGATGGGAAGCAAATTATGTATGGATCATAGTAGTCACCTCTGACCTGCGCAGTTGCCATGATACAAGAGCATTACAGCAGTGCTCTGGAATCTGCCTCCAGTTAATCTTACACAAAGCAGCTGTTTTCTGAGCAATTGGGTGCTTTGAGTTTATAAATGTGCTGTAGATTAAAAAGTAGTTGTGTGTGATAAAGGAAACAAAACCAGTATTCTAGGTAGGCCTGTTGTTACAAATCATTTACAGCTCCATCCAGGGCGGACAGGTCGTGCCGTGGGAGAAGCAGGGCACAGCTCGAACCACCGCGCTTCACTGAAGTAAAGCATTGAGGCCAACAACCCTCCCCCTTTTAAGTCCTGTCCCCTCTGTTTTACAGAAAGCTGACAGCAGATGTTACAGTTAAGATAGCAGACTTAGAAGAAAGCCTTTCAGCACTAGGCCTGAAAAGCAACAGCACGGACACTGACCTGAGCGCGCTGGAGACTGATGCCAAAAGCCTAGAGCGGGTGGTGAAGGAGCTCGCAGAACAGCTGGAGTTCATCAAGATCTCTGATGTGCGGGGTAAGTAAGTGTGGCGAGGAGGGGCACCAACCAGCGGGGCCGCCAAGGATTGAACCTGTATGTGGTTTTAAATACCAGGTTAATCTTCTAACTTGTAGTGAAACTCGTGGCCCTAGGGGGGCAGCTCCTTTCTCTGTGTCAGCCGAGTTGCTGATGCAGCAGGAGTTTTGTCCTGCTCCCTCACGCCTTCTCTGTCCCTCCGCGCGTTGCAAAGCTGGCTCAAGTTCTTGGTGCGCAGAGTTACCTGAAAGCCTCTTCATTAGTACATTGTAGACCAGGCACAACAGCTGAAAGGGCAACAGATCCCATGATATACCTGCACGTTTTGCTCTCTCTCCCCATTTCGTTAAACTGCTGTTTCTGTTTGAAGAAACACCCAAGTCTTTACGATTAAGAGCACACCGTAAGGGCCTGGTTCTTCAGAGGAACTCGAGTCTCGCCTGCCCATTGGCACATTCAACTGCCAAACCTCAGTCGCAGAATGGAAATTTGCTGGAGATAGAAGAACGTTACCAAAGTCTTGGGAAATTTTGAAAACTGACTTTGTTCCAACTTGAAACAAAGGCTTTTTTTTTAAAAAAAAAACAAAAAACTTCCTGCTTTGCAGGAAGTCTGAGTTTGTTTCCAGTGCATGTGGGATTTCCCAGAGCGAGGCAACCGGGATGCAGAAACGAGGGAGTCCCTGACTTGTGGCAGTCTGCAGAGAGAAGCTGCCCCGCGGTACAGAGCATGGCAGCCCAGGGCCTCCCTGGGACTTGTCCAGTTAACAGTGCAGCTTTCATAAATCAGTGTCTTTCATCGAGCAGTTGTTTTTTGGGAGAGCTCTCACCAGTTTCCAAGCAGTGACTCCATAAGCAAGACATCCCAGGGCAAGCAACAAGAGCTAAGTAGAGAAGTGAATCCTAAGGCAATAGGCTGTTCCCTGAAAACCTGTAGGGTTGGATCTTCTCTTTTTTTTCCCCTCAAGGCAAGCAGAATTAAATAACTAGGCTAGAGAAATTAAAACTTTAAATTTCAGCAAACTTCACATACTCTCAGCCAAGTTTAAAAAAAAAAAAAAAGGATTTTTTTTTTTCCTCATGATAGGCTGAACTCTGTCATCCCTGCAATAGCACTGAGTACAAATGCAAAGGCAAGCGTTTCATTTAGCTTGGCATTCAGATAGATAAAAGAATAGGCTAACCCAGATGTGTCATCCAGCAACCTCCATAATATAAATTACTTGGCGTTACTGACCCAACTGCTGAGCTGCTCAGTCTGATTTCTGCAGGAGCCTTGGACAGTATCACCAAGTACTTCCAGATGTCCCTGGAGGCAGAAGACCGGGTCAATGCCTCCACCGTTCACCCCGACAGCGTGGTGGAAGTGTCAGCGCAAACACGCCAGGAGGTGGAAGACTTAATCAACGAGAAGGAGGCCCAGTTCAAGGCGAAACAGGAGGAGCAGTCGCGCCTGCTCGACGAACTGGCAGGCAAGCTGCAAAGCCTGGATCTCTCCGAAGCGGCTGAGAAGGTATGTGGCTAAGATTGGTTGGGATAAAACTTGCAGCAAAACTGACGTCGGATTGTGACAGAATGACAGGCAGGGGCAAACTGTTTAGAGAAGCTGGACAGTGCGAGATATGCAGTTTGTTCATGAAAAAGGCATGTTTCTTGGGTTATAGAGCATTTTGTGAGCTTGAACGGGGCTGCTTAATCTATGGGCATTGAGAGACCTGCTGGCTTTGAAGCATCAGCCCTTCACATTGGTCTCCTCCTGCCTGCTCCTCCCCACACCCATTGGAGCACCCCATCATTTCATCGTCCTTGCTCTAACACAAATCCCTTTGGCATGGACAGAGCGCTCAAGCACAGAAGTTCATCAAGCCTGCTGGAGTGAGGGTCTACCTCTTAGCTTGGCCTCCGCTCCTGTGCTTGCTTTCACTAGGCCCTTCCTAGGGAAGGGACTTTTGTGGCTTTGCAGGGCAGCCGCTGTGCCTGTGTGATGGTCAGCTGGGAAGCGCTCCTGCATGCAGAGAGCAGCCACATGCCCAGGCATCTCCACGCACCCGCTCCTGCGCTTGAGCCAAGGCAGTGCCTACAGGGAGCAGAGTCAAGAGAACAGACTGGCTGCTGAAGCTGCCTGCTGGGCTGTAAATACCACCAGGGCGGCTTTCTCCCTTGTTTCTCTTTGACAGTAGCCAGCTGCTTTCGGAGAGCAGCCCTGCTTGCTGGTTTGGCAGCAGAAGTGCTCGCATGAACTCCTCAGGCAGTAAGAGGCCAGGTCTTCAAATAGTGACGTGTCCCTGTGTCCCTGTCCTGTGGCACGGCAGTGATCCATCCTGGCTTCCCTGCCCCTCCTTTCTTTCCTGTGGAAAAGGCAGCTTTTTGTTTTGTTTCCCTTCCCCTA